CCGCCCCGGGGGCCGAAGGCCCCCCCCCCCCCCCCCCCGCCGTTGAGCGATTCCGCTGAGTTATCACACGGGGCTGTAGTTTGAGAGGCGAGATAACTGCTGGTATTCGTTTTGACGTTTTTAGGGTTGGAGTTTGGCGTTTCCATTGGGCTACGGTCTCCCAGGGGTACGGAGGCGTGTGGCACTGATGCCATTCCTCCTCTCGCACGAGTGGCTTAGAACAGGGCGGCAGTCGTCCCGTGCGCATGCTGGTTTCGACCTACGTTCTTGTAGGGAACCCAAAAGTGCAGGTTTTGCTGATGAACGATTAATGAGACATGGCCTGTCGCGAAAGAAGAGCTCTCGTTTCCTGGTGGGAAAGATAGAAGTAAAAACAAGCTCAAGCAGAGGAACACTAAGGTCCGTTTCAATATGGACTGGCGAATGGCCAACGGTCAGTCGTAAAACAGATGGACGCAAAGAAGAAATGAAAAGCACCCGCCCCCCCCCGGTCTCCCCTCCACATGTTCCCACGTAACCCCCCATGGCAACATCTGGTTTCCATTCCGGGGCGACGGCAAACAACGAAAAAATGACGGCGGGAAACGAAAACGCCATGAAAAAATGACAGCCTGGCTGATTTCGGGGAGTCGGTGCAGCTGACCCACTCCATCGCCAAGCGCCAGACATTCGCGGGGTCACCGTACTGGATGGCGCCGGAGGTCATCATGGCGCAAGACACGTGAGTCTATTTTTTCGATGACGTGGTTTATGTCGGTTTCGGCTGTTTTTGTCGCGCGCTTCTTGCTTATTTGTCGCCGCTTTTTTTTGGACAACCCCTCATTTTTGATTTTTGGGGGGGAGGGCACGAAGCATGATTTGCGTCGATTTTTACTGGTGATGGGAGGAGGCGTACATAGACATTTTTCGGAGACCGGAGGAGGGACAAAGTTGGCTAAACCTTAGTGTCAGTCGATGTGTCGCATGATATGTGGAAGAAAATTTTGGCACGTATTACATGCGTGTATTGAGATGCGAAAGCGTGCATACCATACATACTGCTTGTTGTCCAAGCCGCTGCAATTCCTCTGTTTTCGACGAAATATTTGGCTTTGCCCTCGAAACGAACGGGTTTCAGGTACAACTCGAAGGCGGACATTTGGAGCCTTGGGGTGACGGCGATCGAGATGATCAAGGGGCGGCCCCCCTACTCGGATATGCACCCGATGAAGGCGGTAAGTCAGCCAGGTCTTCGTAGCGAGCCTCTGCTGCTGTGTGCGTGCGCGCTAGCGTGCTTTGCGTTGGGTCACGGAGAGGACAGCTCCCTTGCATTGCCAGTAACTTTGCCGCGCATGATCTTGGCGGACGGTGGCATAGTATGACGATGATGCTACGAAGGCTTCCTTCCCCCTATTTCTTGACCCGCTGCCGCTGCCGCCGCTACCAACTGCGCCGTGCATGTGTTTTCTTTGTGCATAGTTACTAGAAACTGCACCGTGCGTGTGTTTTCTTTGTGCATAGTAAATAGCGGTTTCTTCTTGCGTCGTGCGTGTGTTTTCTTGAGCAGCGTTTTATCGTTTTCTATTTGTTCTCGTTCTTCCTTCTGGTGCCGGCAGGTGTTGTGCATACCCAACAACCCCCCGCCGACTCTCGGCAAGGAGGGGAACTTCAGCAAGCACTTCCACACCTTCCTCGAGCAGTGCTTCCAGCGAGACCCAAACCTCAGGTATGTGCTATACTGCTGTCACATGGTACCCATGGTGTACACAGCAGTTGTCATCCGAATCAGCCTACCTAGCGGCACGTATGTCCTTGCCTGGGTGTATTTGTCTGAGCTTTCATTATTTGTGTTGTCACAGCTAGACCGCAATAAAATGACGTGGCTTATTTGGTAAGGTACAAGTCCTAGGTAAAAGGTACGGAGTGCTTGACCCCAAAACCCGACCGAGTGTGCAGTCGGGTCGATGACACTCAGCGCCATTTTCTTTGGCAGCGCTGCTACCGGGACCCTTCCACCCGCACAGCCACATTCGCTGCTGCTGTTGTATGTGGTGCAAGGCCTTATTTGGTCAGGCCTCAAGAGTATGAGTCCCCCGCCCCGCCGCCGCCGCCGCCGCCGCCTGCACCGCCTACATGGGACCCTCGCCATTAGCGCTTTGTTCAATTTTTTATTGATTCTTGTCTTGTGTGTCTCGTTCGACGTCGCGGCCGTCTCGCGGTAATACGACCGGATGTCTGTGTGTGTTTGTTAGCATCGACGGCGCGCTAACGGGCTGACCAGTGAAAAAACATCTGTCTCAGTGCGGCTGAAAAACAGAAAATGAAGCATCCTTATGGCTGCCGTGATCTGTGTGCGTGTGTGTGTTTGTTTCTTTCAGGCCATCAGCACAAGAGTTGCTGAAGCACCCGTTCATGAAGGCGGCAAAACGGACGGATTCCTTGAATAAGCTCTTGGAGGCCCGACGAGCATCGCAGGTGAGTAGGAAATGAGTGAAAGGAGGGGGGGTGTACTCGTGTAAATTGCATGCCGTAGTCATCAGAACCTTGATCTCGCCTCCCTACAATGCCGGGACGGAGCGGTATGCCAGAGGGGGGGGGGGCGGGGGGATTAGTGGCAAGGGTGGTGGCAGGGGGGGCTTTCGCATATGATGCTTAGTGAGTACGGGCCGGTAGCATTTTGTCTTGTTGACCGCTCGCTTTCGAAAGCAGCACGGTTGTTGTTGTACCCCTGCTACTAGAGTCACGCTGAACAACAAGAGCAGTAGCATCGAAGAGACGGACGAGAGCAAGAATTCCTCCCTTCTCGCTTGTTGTGTCGAGCCCACCATTAGCATCGTGCCCTCTGTCGGCCTATACAGCAGTAGCCCTTTCTCCGCGTCTACGAGAACAGCAGCGGTACAGCAGTACAATGCGAGTCCCTCAAACAGTCCCGGGTCACCTAATAGTGCCACTGCCCGGCATGGCGCCGGTCAAATCGCCTGACACGCTTAGAATATTCAAGCTGTCTCTGGATAGTACCGGATGCCCGGTGTAGTGCCGGTGAATCTGGCGGGCGCTATTGAAGAGGGACCCTTCACTACCGTTAGCACAAGTACAGGGTCTCATTTCCGCTTCCCTACCGGTCTGCAGATGATGAAGTCGCTCTTCGGGGGGGGGCTGCTGAACTCCACGGAGCCCCCGCAGGACGCGACCCACAAGGCCAAGCCCACCACCGCCCTCCCGGCCTCCGCCGCGGCAGCCATCGCCGCCGCCGCCGCATCCAAGGTGGACACCACCAGCGGCACCCCGCTAGGCGCGGCGACCAACGACCCGAAGACTCTGTCCGTGGAGTGGGATTTCGGGGACGGGGATGAGAGCTTCGCCGAGCAAGCTCGGGTGGCCGCCGCGGGTCTCGGGGACTTCGACTTCGCCTCCCCCGTGCCGCAGGCGGCGGTGGCGGCGGCGGGCGAGGCTTGGAGCGGGCTCGGCATTTCCGCCGCTGCTGTTGTTGTGTCCCCGCCGTCCCCGGGTGCGGTGACGCCGAAGGCTAGGCACGGGAGCGGCGGGATGTGGGCGGATGGTATTGCGGCGGCGGCGGGAGCGGCGGGCGAGGGGGAAGGGGGGGGGTATGCGAGAAAAGGACCGCCTCCGTTGGCGGAGCGGCACCGAAAGTACGTGGGGTTTTCACAGGGGGGGGGGGTACTCATAGTCGTGTATGCCGTATTTAGTCGTTAGACGATTGACCTCGCATCCCTACAAAGCCGCGACGGAGCACGCCGGGTTCACTAAGGGGGGCGGGGGGGGGGCGGAATACGCTGGTTTTGAGGTCCAGGTGTTCGATGTGCGGGCAGTAGGTGCTTTGGGACGGGAAGTTGAGGCTCTCGGAAAACGTCTCTGTATTTTTTGCCTGATTTCTCACCTCTTGTTGTACGCAAACTTCCGGCTGCGTGCACCCCTTTTTCGGGCACGAGATATGTATCATAGTGGCCCTTGTTGCTGCTTTCAACGTCGGTAGTGTCTTTGGTGTGGAGTGCGCACGGCAACAGAAAAGCGAGCGTCGACGCACGGGGTGGTCGATTGGGAACCCAGCCTCCCGGCCGTGCGATCTTTCACGCGGTCAAAATGAGGCCGTTAGTCACCCAACTCTCGATCGAGAACTCTTCGTGGTGTGAAGCTTAACCTTGCCTTTTTCTTGCTCAAGCCACCCCCTCGTTGTTGAGGAACCTGTGTGCCTTACACCGTATCACCTGTCATCTCGTCCGTGTTTTCCGTGTTGCATCGACCTCCCATTCGTGATCCCCCCGCCCCCGGTCCTTCCTTCCCGTATCTATATTTTTCACTCATGTATCGGCGTCCCCGCACCTCCTTCGTTGCCCTCCCCCCCCCCCGCCCCCCCCTTCCCCGGCCCGGAACCTCCTCTTGTTTGTACCCCCAGTCGGGGCAAGATGACGAAGGTGGGCCACGTGCTGGGTATCAACGACGCGGCGGCCGCGGCTACCCTCCAGAAGGAGATGACGGTGTTGACCCGCATGCAGGACGAGGAGATCATCCGACGGCAGAAGCTCGGCGGTCTTGGGAGCTGGAAGACCTCGACGAAGTCGGCTGAGGCGACGGAGTCCCAGGACCCTTTTCCCCCCCCCCCCCCCGCCGACCCCCAGGGAACCCTTGGCCAATCATGGTGGTGGACCCCTTCGTTTTTTTCTCAAGAGCAGCACCAGCCCTTTTCGGATTCCTTTTCCGCCAAGGCCCGGGGGACCCGTCCCTTTTTTTCCGGGTGGGGTTCCCGGACGTCTTCCCCCACCCCCGCCCCCTCCGGCGAGGGGGGGGGGGGCGCGGAGGAGAAGCGGTCGAGGTTATCACGGCTGCGTCGACACCGCAGCGATAAGGTTCGTTCTTCCTCGTCCTCGTCGTCTTCGTCCCGGAGGGCCCGCGGGGGCTCCGGCGTATCAACGTCGTCGGCACCGCGGTCCCACGCCGGTTCTCACGATCTCGCCGCCTGGGAGGAGGGGGGGGGGGCGAGAGGGGCGCCGGCGGCGGCGACGGCGGCGGCCGCGGTAGAGGCTCTCGAAGGCGCGGCGCCGGCGGGCGAAGCGGTGGACGAACCCGGCGGAGGGAAAAGCGGCGCGACTAGCGAGCCGGGGCGTGGTCCGTCGTCGAGCCGTAACCTTGGCCACAGCAACGGCGAACGACCAAGCAGCGGTGGCCGTGGCGATGGCACAAGAAAGGGTAGTCCCGCCGCCGCCACCGAGCCACGATCGTCGGAGTCTGCGAGCAGGCCGGGACCTCCCGCGGACGGCGGCGATAACGCCAATAAGCCCGACGCGGAGCCGGACGCGACTGCTGCGGACGGAGACGGGGCGGCAGGGGGTCGTCGTCGTCGTCAGGGCGGAGGAGGTGATGATATTGAGGGCGAGGAGGGCAAGGAGGAGGCGGCTGGGGAAGAAGCGGGGACGCGGCGGCTGCCGCTGCCGGCGCCGCTGGTGACAAAGAGGAGCTGGGAGCACGACGACGTCGGCGACCTCTTCGAGAGCGTCGACGGCAACGGCAATGACGGCGCAGTGCTGGTTGCGGCGGAAGGAGCGGGGGGCGTTGATCAGGCGGCGGCGGCGGCGGCGGGGGGGGAGGCCGGAGAGGCGCGGAACGCAGTAGGTAGCGAGGCGGGTGCGGTGGGAGGTAGTCAGGCGGCAAGCCCGTCAGGAGTGCGACCGGAATCAGCGGAAGCTGGCGACACGGCACGGGGCGAGGAAGGAGGCGTGCGGAGCGCCGGCGGGCGCTCGTCGCTACCTCCTGCTCCACCGTTGGGAAGGGCGCTCGAGCTTGACGGCAGGTCGGAGAAGGACACGCCCACGTCGGTGCCAAAGTCCTCGCTGGGCATGCCCTGGGGCAGCGTTGTCTTCAGGAGCAGCACCTCCGAGAGCCCCGGCGCCAACTCGATGAACTCGACCGCCGGGGTCCTGGGGTTGGGAACGAGCGGCGAGCTGCGTGACGCGGAGGGTGGCAGCGTGGCCGTCACCGACGATTATGGGGGGGGCGGCGCTGAGGCGCAAGAAGAAGAGGGGGTACGTGGATGGGAAGAAGCGGGAGTGGGCGCCGCGGCGGCGGGGTGCGCCGCTTTGGCGCGCGTTGACAGCGCCGCCGAGGCTGATGATGATTTGGCGTCGAAGGCCGCTACTGGGGAGGAAGAAGAAGAGCCGCTGCAACCGTTGCCAGAAGGGGCGCCGACGGGAGGCAGCGGCTCCGCCGATGATGATGACGATAGCGGTGTCGTCGTGCCCCTTCCGAAAGGTGCCGATGGTGGTGTGGTGGTCGAGGAGGAGGTGGAGGAGGAGGAGGGGGCGACAGAGGCATTGGAAGCGGCAGCGGCGGAGACGGCGGATGCGGCGGAAGATGAGGTCCGGTTGACGGCCGCGTTCCACGCACACCTAACACCGGCGCTTTGCGAGGTGAG